ACAGAGATGTCCCTGGCAGGCTGGGTTGGGACAGGTGGTGGTGGTGGGAGCTGGGGTGGTGGTAGTGGTGGTTGTTGTGGTGGTGGTGGTTGTGGTCGTTGTGGTAGCTGCATGCACATCAACCTCTCTTAGACCGGCGTGGCTGATGCACCATCAATTATCGGAACATAGAATCCTCTGAATTGTAACAACACACTGCTTCTGGGGATAATTTTCTTGCTTTGTTTAAACGATCTATCAAGCTCTCGGGTATCATAAACCTTTCTATAGGAGTAAACAACGTATTATATAATCCTGTAGAAGGGTGTTTGTGATACCCGAAATCTTGAGAAATCGTTTAAATATAGCGAGAAACTTATACTCGGAGGCAAGCGTGTTGTTATAACTATAGATTATGTACATTTTCAGTCAGTACTTTGTATGAATAATTTGTAGAATAATATACACGAATTTTAAGTGAATTATAGCCAGATGACCTAGGAGTGTGTTGCTATCAGTAAGAGACCAGACAACATAAGCTGTGAAGGACCTACAGGGAGGCGGGCAGACACAGACGGGACACTGGCTGGAAGCCACGGTGTCAACGTGACAGCCCGGCTCACACCGTGTCACGGGGCAGGTGGGGTCGCACACGCAGGCCGGACAGCCGTCGCTACCGCGGATTACTTGGCAGTTGACACCCAGGCAGGTCGGTGCGGGGCACTCTGGCTCGGCCACGAAGGGAGCTACACACACATAGCTCGGTGCTACATGTAGAAGCCGGGAGAGACCATAGAGGACATGTAAAGGCCGGGAGAGACCATTTCAGTTAAAAATTAACATTTAAACAGGATTTAAGCAAGTCATATTGAAAAATAAGTTAGGCTTCTTAAAGAAAGGCATTATTGGATTGTAAATGGAAAGTACCAAAAATCTCATTGGAAACATCAAGAGTATTTTAATTGAGTTTGATAATGAGATAACAGGACCGGGAAAGACCATAGAGGACATGTAAAGGCCGGGATAAACTATAGAGGACATGTAAAGGCCGGGAGAAACCATAGAGGACATGTAAAGGCCGGGAGAAACCATAGAGGACATGTAAAGGCCGGGAGAAACCATAGAAGACATGTAAAGGCCGGGAGAGACCATAGAGGACATATAAAGGCCGGGAGAGACCATAGAAGACATGTAAAGGCCGGGAGAGACCATAGAGGACATGTAAAGGCCGGGAGAGACCATAGAAGACATATAAAGGCCGGGAGAGCCCATAGAGGACATGTGAAGGCCGGGAGAGACCATAGAGGACATGTAAAGGCCGGGAGAGACCCTAGAGGACATGTAAAGGCCGAGAGAGACCCTAGAGGACATGTAAAGGCCGGGAGAGACCCTAGAGGACATGTAAAGGCCGAGAGAGACTATAGGGGACATGTAAAGGCCGGGAGAGACCATAGAGAACATGTAAAGGCCGGGAGAGACCATAGAAGACATGTAAAGGCCGGGAGAGACCATAGAGGACATGTAAAGGCCGGGAGAGACCATAGAAGACATGTAAAGGCCGGGAGAGACCATAGAGGACATGTAAAGGCCGAGAGAGACCCTAGAGGACATGTAAAGGCCGGGAGAGACCATAGAGGACATGTAAAGGCCGGGAGAGACCATAGAAGACATATAAAGGCCGGGAGAGACCATAGAGGACATGTATAGGCCGGGAGAGACCATAGAGGACATGTAAAGGCCGGGAGAGACCATAGAAGACATATAAAGGCCGGGAGAGACCATAGAAGACATATAAAGGCCGGGAGAGACCATATAGGACATGTAAAGGCCGGGAGAGACCATAGAAGACATGTAAAGGCCGGGAGAGACCATAGAAGACATAAAGGCCGGGAGAGACCATAGAGGACATGTATAGGCCGGGAGAGACCATAGAGGACATGTAAAGGCCGGAGAGACCATAGAAGACATATAAAGGCCGGGAGAGACCATATAGGACATGTAAAGGCCGGGAGAGACCATAGAAGACATGTAAAGGCCGGGAGAGACCATAGAGGACATGTAAAGGCCGAGAGAGACCCTAGAGGACATGTAAAGGCCGGGAGAGACCATAGAGGACATGTAAAGGCCGGGAGAGACCATAGAAGACATATAAAGGCCGGGAGAGACCATAGAGGACATGTATAGGCCGGGAGAGACCATAGAGGACATGTAAAGGCCGGGAGAGACCATAGAAGACATATAAAGGCCGGGAGAGACCATAGAAGACATATAAAGGCCGGGAGAGACCATATAGGACATGTAAAGGCCGGGAGAGACCATAGAGGACATGTAAAGGCCGGGAGAGACCATAGAAGACATAAAGGCCGGGAGAGACCATAGAGGACATGTATAGGCCGGGAGAGACCATAGAGGACATGTAAAGGCCGGGAGAGACCATAGAAGACATATAAAGGCCGGGAGAGACCATATAGGACATGTAAAGGCCGGGAGAGACCATAGAAGACATGTAAAGGCCGGGAGAGACCATAGAGGACATGTAAAATCCGGGAGAGACCATAGAGGACATGTAAAGGCCGGGAGAGACCATAGAAGACATAAAGGCCGGGAGAGACCATAGAGGACATGTATAGGCCGGGAGAGACCATAGAGGACATGTAAAGGCCGGGAGAGACCATAGAAGACATATAAAGGCCGGGAGAGACCATAGAGGACATGTATAGGCCGGGAGAGACCATAGAGGACATGTGAAGGCCGGGAGAGACCCTAGAGGACATGTGAAGGCCGGGAGAGACCCTAGAGGACATGTAAAGGCCGAGAGAGACCCTAGAGGACATGTAAAGGCCGAGAGAGACTATATAGGACATGTAAAGGCCGGGAGAGACCATAGAGAACATGTAAAGGCCGGGAGAGACCATAGAGAACATGTAAAGGCCGGGAGATACCACATAAAATCAGTTTACAATCGCCTACAGGTTCTACAGAAGTCCATCCAACCCACCCGCCGCCGTGGTGGGGGGAAGAGGGTTGCACACACAGCCCGGGCACCTGTCCCGCGGGGGGTAAATCTCGGCCTCGCAGTGAGCTGGGCACCGCGGCTTTGCACAGGGTACCTCGCACTTGCACGTCAGACACCCTTGGGGACCGTCAGGGAACACACGGCAGTTGTAGCCCACGCAGGCCGGCTCGGGGCACATCACGTCGGCGGCAGCAGCTGTGACACCCATTCTGGATGGTGGGTAAAATGGCACGTTATAGGTAAACAGGGAACACTCATATTTAATTTTGTTAATAAGAGATAAGGGTTTTTTTAAAACCATAAATTAGGCGATCAAAAGGCTCTTCAATGGGGTTTATATTATCTACCTATAGTTACGTTATCATTTGGGGCCCTGATGAGAATACTGAAACCTATCCCTGTCTTGACGATTGACACAATATTCAAAAATATTTATTGACAATAAACCTTTCTTGCATTTCTTTACCGACGAAATAAAGGTGAAACTCAAACTTATCAGATACGTTGATGACGTGGTCTTCAAAATCCAAAAGGAAGAGAGCTCACCTATCTTGAATTGTGGATAGATACCAGTTAGGGACGATACTATTGTTCAAAATTGGCTCTTGATGATTTTTTGGTGAGATTGGTTAAAGATAATCAGGATGATATGGAAGCCTATAATTATATCTTAATGTTTATGTGTTTATATACATAAATATATATTTTTAATTAAAGATTTATTTATGGATTGCTCTATTTTCAAAATAAATATATGTGATGATTTAAGACCATGGAATTGTTGTAAATAGTCTAGATATCTCCTACCACATGTTCCACCCCATGACTGTATATAACTTCTTATGTACTGCAAATAGAAAGCCTCAACTAACATCAATCTGTACCGCGTAAGAATCTAATAAAGTATCGCAACTGTACAGATAGAAGGAATGGAGTCTAACAGGAGAAAGTTAAGGTTAAAACAAATCAGGCTTAGGTGATCGTAGAAGTAAGGCCTAGCAAAGAAGCTTAAAGTTAGAACCACTATTAATAAATTTATAGTCAATTTTACGATCACGGAAACCATAAAAGTCGAGTAACGCCCCGTATTTCCGGACCAAGACCGGATATATCTTCCGACAAAAGACATATTCCTACCAATTAGGAGACAAGACCTAAGTAGGTCAACCAATAGCCAGCGGCCACGTGGCATGGTCCCGCCAATTGGGAAAGAATCACCTAAATAGGTCAACCAATTAGAAAGAAGAAAGGTCTTGGTGTTAAATCGAGAACCTAGGTTAGGCAGTATACGCTTGGCTCTCAACAAGGTAACACTTGCTCTAAAGATCTCCCTCTCTCCTCATCCCATTCCTTCTTGACGTCAGACGCTTCTAAGTGGAATCTCTGTTTGTTTATTTCACCTTTGGCCCAGCTGTGTCGCCTTCCACCACGACTGCACGGTAGAGTTGACATCGAGGTTCGTCTAGCATCAGGTAACACTGGTCCCAGAGGTCCCAAGATATCACAGACTCCCCCGTCCGAAGAGTCGACAGGATCGTGGACGCCAAGGTACAAGTAAGCAAGTAGACCACTGTCTGTACAGAAAGATGGAACAGGGAAGAGAGGAGGATTCAAAGGAGCCCATGAAGACCGATCCCGACTACGAAAGTGGCGAAAGCACCACTTTTCCAGAGAAAGAAAACACTCTCGGTAGGAC